TCCCACTTGGTCATGGTACACAGTCATTTTTGTATGTTGATGGATTTGGTTTGCTAGCATTTGTTGAGGACTGCTGTCCATATTCATAAGAGATATTAGTCTGTAGTTTTCTTTTCTTGTGATATCTTTATCTGGTTTGGGATTAGGATAATATTGGCCTCACAGATGGGTTGAAAAGTGTTCCCACTTTTCTATTTTTTTGGAAGAATTTGTAAAGAATTGGTTAATTCTTAAACTGTTTGGTAAAAAGCTCCAGTGAAGCCATTTCAGCCTAGGGTTTTGTCAGTAATTTATTACTAATTTAATCCCTATTCTTGTTAAATCCATTCAGATTATTTATTTCTTCTTGAGTCAGTTTCAGTAGTGTATCTCTAAAAATATGTCCATTTCATCAAAGTTGTCTAATTCATTGGCATACAGCTGTTCACAGTGTTCCTTTAAAATCCTTTATAAGATCAAAAGAAATGTCCTTTTTCATTTCTGGTTCCAGTAATTTCTTTTTTCCTTTCTTGTTTTTTGTTTTTGGTCAATCTAGCTAAAAGTTTGTTTTGTTAATCATTTCAAAGTACCAGTTTTTGGTTTTATTGATTTTTCCTATCCTATTTTCTTTTTCATTTTCATTTTTGCTCCAATCTTTATTATTTCCTTCCTACTCCTTATTCTAGGTTTAATTTGCTTTTCTTTTTTCCAGTATCTTTAGGCAGATGGTTAAAGTAGTCACTTGAGATCTTCCTTTTTAAAAAATACAGGTATTGATAGTTATAAAATTTCCTCTAAGTACAACTTATAGCAACATCTCAGAATTTATTATATTGTGTCTTCACCTTCATTCACCTCCAAGTATAAATACCCCTTTCGATTTCTTCTTTAATCCATTCATTATTTAGGAATATATTGTTTAATTTCCATATACTTATGAAGTTTCCAAAATTCTTTTTTGCTATTAATTTCTAATTTCATTCCACTGTAGTTATAGAACTTGCTCTGTATTATCTTTGACCTGTTAAATTTATGAAGGTTTTTTTTTTTTTCAATTGGCTCAGCATAAAGTCTATCTCAGAGGAGAATGTTCCATGTGCAATTAAGAATGTATTTTTTAGGGGTGCTTGGGTGACTCAGTTAGTTAAGCATCCAATTCTTGATTTCGGCTCAGGTTATGATCTCAGGTTTGTGAGAATGAGCCCCGCATTGGGCTCTGTGCTGACAGTGCAGAGCCTGCTTGGGATTTGCTCTTTCCCCCACACACACATGATCTCTCTCAAAAATAACCATATAAAAAAATGTATTTTCTAATGTTGAATGGAGTGTTCGGTAGTTGTTAGACCCAGTTGGTTTATGGCGTTGTTCAAATCTTCTATGTCCTTATCTTCTGCCTAGTTCCATCCATTATTGGAAGTTGGATATTAAGCCTTCAACTATGTTTAACTGTCTGTTTCTCCCTTCATTTCTGGCAGGTTTTGCGCCACGTATTTGGGAGCTCTGTTGTTAAATACACATATATTTATAATTGTTATACCTTAATCTTTTATCATCATAAAATGTCCTTCTGTATCTCCAGTAGCAATTTTTGCCTTAAAGTCTATTTTGTCTACTATCAAAAAGCCATTCCATCAATTGGTTGCTATTTGCATTATGTATCTTTTTTATTCCTTTTACTTTCAATCTCTTTTTATTTTTCTAATCTACTTTTATAATATCTAACTTTTGATTGGAATGTTTCATTCAGTGACACTTTTAAATTCAATCACATTAGTTATTATTGACATAGAGGATTTACATCTGCCATTTTACTTACTTCTATATGTCACATGTCCTTTGTTCTATTTCTCCTTTACTGTTAACCTTGCATTAAGTGAATACTGCATTACTTTAATATTTTTAATGATTTTCACTATTTTTTGAGTGATTTGCTTAGTGGCTACTCTAGTACTTATCATATACATCTTATCAGAAACAGCTTAATATTTATACTAACTTAATTCCAATGAGCTATTGAAACATTACTCCTATATAGCTCTATCCTCTTTCTTCCCTTTCTGTGGTATTGTGATATATATATTATAAACATTACAAACACCTAAATACACTGTTATAGTCATAACATTACATAATTTTATGTCTTTCAAAGAAGCTAAGGACAGCAATTATATTTTTGTAAGTTTTATTAATATGAATTATTATCACTTATGGCTTTCTTCATTTGTTCCTGTGTATTCAAATTACCATCTGGAGTCATTTCCTTAGCCTAATGCACCTTTGCTCCCATCCACCTCCTCTGTGCTGTTATGCAAAATATATATTTCATTTCTATATGTTACAGGCTCAATAATACATTATATACAGTTTTAAATGATTGCCTTTTACACCAGTGAACAAAAGAGTAAAGGAAAAATAACTGTCTTTTATAATTACCTTCACTATTGCTCTTTGATTTTTTTTTGGTGTGGATTCAAATTATTGTCTAGATCACCTGCTTTCAGCCTGAAGAACTTCCTTTAGTATTTCTTTTGAGTATGCCAGCAAAAATTCTCTCAGCTTCTGCTTATCTGCAAATGTCTTTATTTCACCTTACTTTTGAAAGATAGCTTTGCTGGCTGGGGTGCCTGGGTGGCTCAGTCGGTTGAATGTTCAACTCTCGATCTCAGCTCAGGTCATGATTTCACAGTTCGTAAGATTGAGCCCTGTGTCAGGTTCTGTGCTAAAAGCACGGAACTTGCTTGGGATTCTCGCTCTCCCTCTCTCTCTGCCTATCCCTTACTCGCACATGTGCATTCTCTCTCAAAAACAATAAACAGCAACAACAAAAAGATAGCTTTGTCATACATAGGATTCTTGACTGATAGTTTTTTTGCTCCTTTGAGCATTTTGAACATGCTGTCCTGTGACTTTCTGATCTCCACTGTTTCTGGTGAGAAGTCAGCTGTTAATCTCATTGGGGTTCCTTATAAGTGACAAATTGTTTTTCTCTTGCTGCTTTCAAGATTTTCTCATTGTCTTGGTCTTCCAGCATTTTGTTTTTGAGAGAGAGAGAGGATAAGCAGAGAAGAGGAGCAGAGGAAGGGAGAGAGAAAATCTTAAGCAGGCTGTGTGCTGAGTGTGGAGGTGGGTTTCAATCTTACAACCATGAGATCATGACCCAAGCTGAAATCGAGTCAGACGCTTAACGAACTGAGCCACCCAGGTGCTCTGGTCTTTCAGCATTTTTAATATGTTTCATCTATTTGTGGATTTCTTGCATGGTTATCTGGAACTCATTGAACTTCCTGGAGGAGCACGTTTTTGAGTAAATTTGGAAACTTTTTAGCTATTATTTCTTCAAATACTGTTTGTTTCTTTATTTCTCTCCTCTCCTTCTCGTTCTCCCATCATGCATATGTTGGTGTGCTTAAGTGCCCCATATTTTCCTGAGGTTCATTTTTCTTCATTCTTTTTTCTCTTTTCTTTAGATTAAATAATCTCTATTGATCTATCTTCAAGTCTGCTAATTCTTTCTTCTGCCAGTTCAAATCTACTCTTGAGCCCCACTAGTAAATTTTTTATTTCAGGTGTATTGTTCAATTCCAGAAATTCCTCCTGGTTCTTTTTCTTTAAAATTTCTATCTCTTGGGGCACCTGGGTGGTTCAGTCAGTTGGGCGTCCAACTTCGGCTCAGGTCATGATCTCACAGTCTGTGAGTTCCAGTCCCGCATCAGGCTCTGTGCTGACAGCTCAGAGCCTGAAGCCTGTTTCCGATTCTGTGTCTCCCTCTCTCTCTCTGTCCCTCTCCCGCTTAAACTCTGTCTCTCTCAAAAATAAATAAACATTAAAAAATTTTTTTTTAATTTCTATCTCTTTATTGATATTGTCTATTTGATATAACATCATTGTTATACCTTCCTTACTTTTTTAGTCATAATTTCCTTTAGTTCTTTGAACATAGTTAAAATGCCTACTTCGAAGTCTTTGTTAAATCTGACATCTGATTAGTCTCACAGGCAGTTTCTATTGCCTGCTTTTTTCCCCTAGTATATGGATTATACTTTCCTCTTCCTCTGCATGTATTATAATTTTTTGTTGGAAACTGGGCACTTTAGAAAACCCTGAATTGTAACAACTCTGAATACTGATCCACCTCCTCTCTCCTGGGGCTTGTTGTTAGTAGTGGTCTGTTTTCTGGTCTGTTTCCTGAGTGGATTATTTTAGGGAAATGTGCATCCCTCTTTCTCCCATAATTTGTATTAATCAGCCCAAGAAATGTTGTGTTCATTCCTGAATGCCACATTTGAAGAATACTAACAAACTAAAGCACATGCAGAGGAAACTTCCAGGTTGGGGAGGTTTTAAAATGTCACAGGCCAAAAGGCTAAAGAAACTGATTATATATAAGTTGATCTTACTAATAGGATAGAAAGGAGACAGAGTTGCTGACTTCAAAGTTCTGAAGTGCTTTTCTGGTATAGCCAAAAAGCAAGGAAAAGTCACAGAACTTAGACAAACAGGTCAATATTACAGGGAACAGACTTTAGCTCAAAATATAATGAAGAATTTTTTAAACAAGAAATTCAACAATGGCACAAGCTGTCTTATACAACAATGAGGTTTCCATTTTTAAGCAGAAGTTTTCAATCTGTCACAACTGTTAAGGATGGTATTTCTTATTTGGAAGAGGAGGTTTAAGTAGATGATCCCATTTTCTGTGGTAGTCAAGAAATCTGGCCTTGAATGTACTCAGTTTGACATAATGCAAAGCACTTTACATGTACATTAACATATTACAATTATTCATCTCTAGAAAAACTTTAGAGTTCATCTGAGATTGCTATTTAAAAGTATTTTCCTGATTAGTCACATATCTGGTGGATTACTGTATAAAACACTGGGAAAAAGAATTACTTTAAATGTCTATATTCTCTCAGGTACTTGCTTTAAAATATTAGGAAAAAAGTAATTCATTTTCAAGAGTTATTCAGTTCTTATTAAAGTTTGTTTTTTTAATGAAATAATTGAGATCCATAACTCACCAGAAGAAATCTTACCAGCACCTTTATAGTCAACAGAAAATGCAGATGTGACTCCATTGGCTGACCCCAGTTCACACATGGATATTTGATAAGGGGGCCTCAGCTTGATTTCCATCTGCATGTCAGACAGATTTATCTTTGTTGAAAGAGACCTGGGATTATTATATCGCTGCTTGGTCCTCTGAATGAAGTTATCTATGTAAAATAAAAAATAAATTTCCTTGCAGTCATTTGTTTATTAAATAAAGTGTGTGAGAGTGTGATGTTAATGGAGTAAATTCTGCAGATAAACAGTTTAATTTGTTATCCAAAACTATTCAGTTTGTCATGGAATATTCTAATATTATTTGTGTTTAATGGTTAATATATCATGGGGTCATCCATTTTTCACTCTAGAAATTAATAATTATAAATAAAATAATAGTTTAAAATAATGACTGTGAGACCATTTCTACTATTATATCCACTTCACGGAATTATTTTAAATTTTTACAAAAAAACCAAAAACAGCTTTCTTTAATTTTAGATCAGTCTTAATTTCTATAGGGTTTCATATCTCATAAAATATAAAGTTTATCAGTATTTACCAATTGTAATTACATAAGAACATACTCTGTAAATTGCATGTTCTTACAAACCTGTTTTCTTATTTACTGCTTACACCATTAGAATGTATGTTTTGAAGAAATAAATTTAATAAAAGACATCTTTGAAATATCTTCCAATTTTACTTTCATATTTACAAGTTGGTTTTACTTCTTTTCCTCCTACACCAGGAGTCAAGTAAACTAATGCCCATGGGCCAAATCAAGCCCGCTGTTTATGTAAATAAAGTTTTATTGGAATATATACTCATTCATTTATGTATTGCCTATGGCTGCTTTCAAGCTACAATGGCAGGGCTGAGTAGTTGTGACAGAGACCATATGGTCTTTAAAGCTTAAAATATGTACTCTCTGGTACTTTCCAGCAAATGTTTGCCAACCTCCATTCTACATTAAGCAGACTATAAAAGATTATCACATAAACACAGAACTCTGAATCTCTGGCTTATAAATTTCTCATTGAAAAATTGTCCTCTGGGATTAATTCTATGTGTCAATAATCACAATCCTCTCCACAGCTCAGACACAATTTTTTCTAATAGGCACCTACATGAAGAAGTTGCCATAATTTATAGACCCTCTGTCAAATTATTCTATCAAAAGCAAGGTAGCAGAATTTTCTGAGTTTTTCCCCTGGCCCCCAGTATTATATGAAAAATAGCTTATGACTGGATGGAGACAGGACAATGAAAAGGAAAAAAATCAGGCCCTTACCAAATTCAATGAAACAGTATGGTCTGACAGCAGTATTTGTCTTCATCATGTTATAAGTAGTAATGAACTCCTTCTGAAGCTCATCCAGGAAAGAGAAGGCCAGAACATTTGGGTAATTTTCAGTGCACAACATCATGTAGCTCACTCCCAGAGAGCTAATAAAACTACAGTGTAAAAAACATTGGTTTTAAAATTTCAAATTAAATCAAAGTAATTCATTGCTTCAAAAGACTGGTTCTATACACCGTAAACTGCTGCTACAGTGGCAATGAAGATATTAACATTTATTATATATTCTAGCAAAAAAAATTAAAGAAACCAAAATATACTTCTACTTCCAGTTGCAGTTAAAACAGTAAACCAAAAAAAATGTAATGTACCTAAAGATGGACACACACTATAATTCTAACACTTCAGTCATTTAACATTGGGGGTAGAAAGCCGGGGAAAGAATATACAAATATGCAAGGGTTACAGATAGCTTAAGGTTTAACTATTCAACCTAGTGGAACCTAATACTGTTCGAATCAAGAACTCTAGAGATTCCGATTAAAGTTATGGACACTCTCCTCGGATGTGCAAACAACACAAAACTTGGCACACAATTTCAGGGTGGTCACTGAGCTTCTGAAGTCATCCAGTGACTCCACAATCAAATGTTCTACTTCACATCATAATGAATTATGAACCATGGGGTAAATAAGAGTAATTTATGAGTTTATAACAACAACAAATAAAATAAATAGGGTAGAAAGGAGAACTCTTGCTTACAGCAGAATGCTGAGCACCAACCAGTAAATGTGGAGGTAGTGCTAGAACTGGAAAAATCAGCATTTTGCACCAACACAGTAGGGCAAGGAAGGATAATCAATGAATGCTGAATCTAGGGGGAAATTTTGGTGAGGATTAGGAAATTTTGCATGGTTTTAAAATGTCTTCCCATTGATTGCTTATTTGTTGCAAGGGGAAAATATTTATTATACAGCAGACACTAGACAATATCTTGATTGAGTATTCCAACATTACTAATGATGGGCAGATGGACCTCCTGTGCCTTTAGGTGTGATATCCTCAGAAAGACATATCAGCTACGTAGTATTAAATGTGTATATGTAATGTATGTATATGATATATATATATATATATATAT